CGCGCTGATGTTTGGTTCACTGTATTTTATTTTGATAAAGTACCAACTGCGCTGTCAAGTTAGCAGTGCTGGAACTGATGTGTGTGTGTGTGTGCGTGTGTGTGTGCGTGCGCGCCGGCGCGATCACTTCAACAGTTTCCTTATACCAGCAGAATCAACTTTAAACACTTAATGTCTTATTAATAATGCATCACTGTCTGCTTTAATTTGTGTACACTCACAATGAAAACAAAACATTGTGCTTTTGTAAAATAAAGAAAACAAATAGGATGTGGCTTTGTGCCATTTGAGTTTCCTTTCTGTGGACAAATGAAGCCTGTCACAAAAAAGAACTGAAACTCAGCATATATAGGCTACGTTACATGTCACACTGTTTTTTTCCCTTGTTTATCTGTAAACTAAATCAAATATATTTCAAGAATTTATTCCTTGACAAATGAAGCCTGTCACAAAAAAGAACTGAAACTCAGCATATATAGGCTTCGTTACGTGTCACACTGTTTTTTTCCCTTGTTTATCTGTAAACTAAATCAAATATATTTCAAGAATTTATTCCTTGTATGTATATACTGTATGTACTGCAGATTTTATATATATAACATAATGTAATAATATTTAGTATTTTCACATCTAGGTGGAAAAAATTGTAATTTGTACTACTGTCTGTTCAAAATAAATGAAAAGAAACCGAGCATAGTAGATTTTTTTCCCTGTTGTACCGAAATCGTATCGAACTGTAACCCCCGAACCTAGGTACATACCGAACCGTGACATCTGTGTACCGTTACACCCCTAATATATATATATATATATTTTTTTTTTTTACTACAAAATGTATTTTTAGGGCTGTTAAAGTTAACTTCAGGTATTAATTGTTTAACACAATTCTTTTATATAATTTGATATAATTGTTTTATTCTGCTGGGACTAACTATTTGGAAATCAGTCATTTTATTTTATTAAGCGCTCTTGTTTATAACAGACAGCATAGTTTTTAATGTTTATACGTCTAACAATGGGTAGAGAAAGATACACTGTCAGCTTGTGCATAGTTTCCAGATAATATTTTAATTATCTGCTTTAGTATAATGACAATATAAAAGACAATTATTTAATTTTGAGGGGAAAAAAGTTGTCTTTAAAAATGATCTTCATTGTAAAATTGTAAGTAATTTTTTTTTTTTATAATTTCACACTTTATATTTCTCTCATAGTATACATGGGCCATTATACAAAAAAATCTGCCTTTATGTTTTAATAAGGGAGTCCCTCACAAGGGTTCTGAGTTTTAGAGTGAATTATTTTTTTGTGCTAACTAAAGATACACTGTCAGCTTGTGCATAGTTTCCAGATAATATTTTAATTATCTGCTTTAGTATAATGACAATATAAAAGACAATTATTTAATTTTGAAGAGAAAAAAGTTGTCTTTAAAAATGATCTTCATTGTAAAATTGTAAGTAATTTTTTTTTTTATAATTTCACACTTTATATTTCTCTCATAGTATACATGGGCCATTATACAAAAAAATCTGCCTTTATGTTTTAATAAGGGAGTCCCTCACAAGGGTTCTGAGTTTTAGAGTGAATTATTTTTTTGTGCTAATCAACGTAATGTCACAGATGCTGTTGGTTGAGCTGAACTTGCACTGCACTAGGATAAAATAACAGTCAAAATACACCTCTTGCTTCATTCATTCATACGCATTCATACGCATTGTTCCAGTTTGGTTAATAATGACCTGCAAATTTGCATATAAAGCATCTGTTGAAACAGTCATCCTCTCTGGTGTCTGTGCTGTAGGACATGGCTGATAAAGTCCTGGAGATCTTCAGTGTGGCTGAACCCGCTCAGCTTCCTCATGTGGTGAGCAGTCCGTCCATGCTGAACGCTGATCCTGACTGCGCCGTGACCCATCTGAGACAGCTGGAGGCCTGCGGCGCCCCATCCATCACCCCGTCCCTGTGTATGGCCTCCCTGGCCCTGCGCAAGGGTGACCTGCACAGCTACAGGCAGCAGATGGACCGCCACGCTGAGGTACTGCATCAGGAATTCATGCCGTAACTACAGGTATTGTGTGATCCAGCCAAAGAAACACATCTAAACTCAAAAACACGTCGTCTCTAGATGCTGCAAGTATATGGCTTCATAGAAGAGCCCAAGCTGCTGCTGCACGGCAGAGGGAAGGCCGTGCTGCCCACCATACTGTCCCAGCACCTGCACGACACACAGGAGGGGCTGCTGGTGGCGGCGGTCGTGGCGCTGCACGAGAACAGCAAGATCAGACTGGAGGAGGCCGATCTCTTCTTCCAGGTGCATGCAGCACACCGAGAGTCTGTGTGAGTGCGAGTGTGCGCGTGCGTGTGCGAGTGCGCGTGTGCGTGCGCGAGTGTGTGTGTGTGTGCGTGCGAGCGTGTGTGTGTGTGAGTGCGTGAGTGTGTGTGTGTGTGTGTGAGAGTGTGAGTGTGTGTGTGTGAGTGCGCGAGCGTGTGTGTGTGTGTGTGAGTGCGCGAGCGTGTGTGTGTGTGTGTGAGTGCGCGAGCGTGTGTGTGTGTGTGTGAGTGCGCGAGCGTGTGTGTGTGTGTGTGAGTGCGCGAGCGTGTGTGTGTGTGTGTGAGTGCGCGAGCGTGTGTGTGTGTGTGTGAGTGCGCGAGCGTGTGTGTGTGTGTGTGAGTGCGCGAGCGTGTGTGTGTGTGTGTGAGTGCGCGAGCGTGTGTGTGTGTGTGTGAGTGCGCGAGCGTGTGTGTGTGTGTGTGAGTGCGCGAGCGTGTGTGTGTGTGTGTGAGTGCGCGAGCGTGTGTGTGTGTGTGTGAGTGCGCGAGCGTGTGTGTGTGTGTGTGAGTGCGCGAGCGTGTGTGTGTGTGTGTGAGTGCGCGAGCGTGTGTGTGTGTGTGTGAGTGCGCGAGCGTGTGTGTGTGTGTGTGAGTGCGCGAGCGTGTGTGTGTGTGTGTGAGTGCGCGAGCGTGTGTGTGTGTGTGTGAGTGCGCGAGCGTGTGTGTGTGTGTGTGAGTGCGCGAGCGTGTGTGTGTGTGTGTGAGTGCGCGAGCGTGTGTGTGTGTGTGTGAGTGCGCGAGCGTGTGTGTGTGTGTGTGAGTGCGCGAGCGTGTGTGTGTGTGTGTGAGTGCGCGAGCGTGTGTGTGTGTGTGTGAGTGCGCGAGCGTGTGTGTGTGTGTGTGAGTGCGCGAGCGTGTGTGTGTGTGTGTGAGTGCGCGAGCGTGTGTGTGTGTGTGTGAGTGCGCGAGCGTGTGTGTGTGTGTGTGAGTGCGCGAGCGTGTGTGTGTGTGTGTGAGTGCGCGAGCGTGTGTGTGTGTGTGTGAGTGCGCGAGCGTGTGTGTGTGTGTGTGAGTGCGCGAGCGTGTGTGTGTGTGTGTGAGTGCGCGAGCGTGTGTGTGTGTGTGTGAGTGCGCGAGCGTGTGTGTGTGTGTGTGAGTGCGCGAGCGTGTGTGTGTGTGTGTGAGTGCGCGAGCGTGTGTGTGTGTGTGTGAGTGCGCGAGCGTGTGTGTGTGTGTGTGAGTGCGCGAGCGTGTGTGTGTGTGTGTGAGTGCGCGAGCGTGTGTGTGTGTGTGTGAGTGCGCGAGCGTGTGTGTGTGTGTGTGAGTGCGCGAGCGTGTGTGTGTGTGTGTGAGTGCGCGAGCGTGTGTGTGTGTGTGTGAGTGCGCGAGCGTGTGTGTGTGTGTGTGAGTGCGCGAGCGTGTGTGTGTGTGTGTGAGTGCGCGAGCGTGTGTGTGTGTGTGTGAGTGCGCGAGCGTGTGTGTGTGTGTGTGAGTGCGCGAGCGTGTGTGTGTGTGTGTGAGTGCGCGAGCGTGTGTGTGTGTGTGTGAGTGCGCGAGCGTGTGTGTGTGTGTGTGAGTGCGCGAGCGTGTGTGTGTGTGTGTGAGTGCGCGAGCGTGTGTGTGTGTGTGTGAGTGCGCGAGCGTGTGTGTGTGTGTGTGAGTGCGCGAGCGTGTGTGTGTGTGTGTGAGTGCGCGAGCGTGTGTGTGTGTGTGTGAGTGCGCGAGCGTGTGTGTGTGTGTGTGAGTGCGCGAGCGTGTGTGTGTGTGTGTGAGTGCGCGAGCGTGTGTGTGTGTGTGTGAGTGCGCGAGCGTGTGTGTGTGTGTGTGAGTGCGCGAGCGTGTGTGTGTGTGTGTGAGTGCGCGAGCGTGTGTGTGTGTGTGTGAGTGCGCGAGCGTGTGTGTGTGTGTGTGAGTGCGCGAGCGTGTGTGTGTGTGTGTGAGTGCGCGAGCGTGTGTGTGTGTGTGTGAGTGCGCGAGCGTGTGTGTGTGTGTGTGAGTGCGCGAGCGTGTGTGTGTGTGTGTGAGTGCGCGAGCGTGTGTGTGTGTGTGTGAGTGCGCGAGCGTGTGTGTGTGTGTGTGAGTGCGCGAGCGTGTGTGTGTGTGTGTGAGTGCGCGAGCGTGTGTGTGTGTGTGTGAGTGCGCGAGCGTGTGTGTGTGTGTGTGAGTGCGCGAGCGTGTGTGTGTGTGTGTGAGTGCGCGAGCGTGTGTGTGTGTGTGTGAGTGCGCGAGCGTGTGTGTGTGTGTGTGAGTGCGCGAGCGTGTGTGTGTGTGTGTGAGTGCGCGAGCGTGTGTGTGTGTGTGTGAGTGCGCGAGCGTGTGTGTGTGTGTGTGAGTGCGCGAGCGTGTGTGTGTGTGTGTGAGTGCGTGTGTGTGAGTGTGTGTGTGTATATGCGTGTGTGTGTGTGTGTGTGTGTGTGTGTGAGAGTCGTTCTCATTCCCGTGTGTGTTCATCTCTCTCTCAGGAGCTGTGTAAGGATGGCGTGGAGGCTGAGAGCAGTCCTCAGTTACTGGTGGATTTCTGGGAGGCTCTGTTAGTAGCGTCCTCTCATGAATCCATCATCCAGGAGCTGCTGTTTCGTCTCACGTCCGTCTATATCGACCGTATCACGCGCAGAGATCACTCCGGCGTCAAAGCCCTCAAAACGGCTGAGGATCTGGTGAGCGAGATAAAGCACCCTAACACAGCAGGTGTTGTGAGTGCTTGTTTACACGTTGATTACTAGAGTGTGCAGGGGTTTTCTATCTGGGGTCCGATGACCACCAGAGTGCTGGGGGGGTCTGTGGAAAAGTTTAGAGAAAAACTGTGAAAATATGTAAAAATTAATCGATAATAAAAAATAAATAAAACAAATAAAACTTTTGATAAAAAAAATAATAAGTAAATAAATAATAAAATTGATCTAAATACATAATGCACTACTATGTAGTATAGAAAAACAGTACTAGTGAATGAAAAAAAAAAA